ATATATATATATATATATATATATATATATATATATATATATATATAAAGGTGTTTTAAACCTTTCCCCACACTCTTACAATATTCTAAACAATGTTTCCAAAATGTAAACGCTTTAAAAGAGCACAGCATGATCTCCACTCTCTCTACCTCCGGCTGCTCTCTACCTCCGGCTGCTCTCTGCCAGCGCTCTCGGCCACGCCCTTTTCTCTGCTGCAGAGCGGAGATATGACACACTGCAGGAGGAGGCTTCTCCTACAGCTGTGGGCTGCACACGGGTGCAGCAGGTGCTAAATAATTGTAATTAATTTATTTTAAATAAAAATTTCATGCCGATCGTGTGACTCATCCATCAATGAGCCAGTTGTGTGTCATGTCCAATCTTATTTTGAAAAACCGCGAAGTAGCGAGGGACTACTGTATTCTCATTATTAAATCTTAAACTTTGTGAATTTGCATTAAGTCACTCCAGTCTTTAAAATGAATTGTTTACATCGTGTTCCAAATCCAAATCAAAGCTCTTTGTAACCAACTGGACCGCACGTCAGAACAATTAACATGTTTAGTTGACTATTTTTTACCCCAGGGTTCAAAATGCCAAAAGTAAAGAACCACAAGAAAACTGAAATCAGCTTTAATGTGAAAGGGTGAAACATTTTAGGAAAAAAAGACCATTAAACCACAATTGGAGGAAACCATCGTGGTCACATTTTCAAATACAGATGCTTGAAGAGCTCAAATAGGTCTGATCAAGATCTGATGAGGACTTCCAGCTGGCTTTCTACTTCTGGGGGGTTTCACACAACGTGCAGCCGGGCTTCAGGTCCGCTTGCCGCTCCATCTGGATGGTAACGGAGTGGAAGTTGAAGGAGGAGAAACAAGCCTGGGTCATTTCTCTCAGGACGGTCTGAGCATCAACGGAGTCATCTGAGGAGACAGAAAAACTTGGCTGAGGCACAAAACATAACTAGCGATTAACATTGATTTGAATTTAATTATGATGGTTAGGAAGCAACATACATGATTCAGCCACGTAGTGCAGAAGCAATAAACATATTAAGTGTCACAGATGTGATTTAGTGCAATGTTATTATCAAGAGTTTAGTAATCTGACAGCTTGTGGTAATAACCGTCTTTGAATCTTCATGCGCTATGACAGACTCCTGTATCGTCTGCTTGAGGGTAGTAGATGGAAGAGTCCTTGTGCTGGGTGGGTGTGGTCCTTAATGATGCTGTGTGCTTTACGCAGACATCTGCTATGGTAGATGTCCTGGATGGTGTGGAGACTGCAACCAGTGATGTCCTCTGCTGTGCACCACCCTCTGTAGGGTTTTCCGGCTCTGACTAGCGCAGTTCCCGTACCACCCTGTGATGCAGCCCGTCAGCAGGCTCTCAATGATGCACCTGTAAAAGTTGGTGAGAATGCTGGTGTTTGTACCAAACTTCCTTAATCTTCTTTGGAAGTAGAGTCTTTGTCAGGATTTCTTGACCACAGTGTCTGTATGTAAAGTCCAGGAAACATCCTCAGTAATGTGAACACTGATGAACTTGAAGCTGCTGACTTGTTCCACCTCAGCGTTGTTTTTCTAGATGGTGGAGTGCTGGCCTCCATGCCGTTTCCTGAAGTCCACTAACATCGCCTTCATTTTGCTGACATTTAGAGAGAGGTTATTTTCTTGACACTAACTTGTCAGTGATTTCACCTCATCTCTGTAGGCACTCTCATCGTTGTTGGTGATGAGGCCCAAGATGGTGGTGACATCAGCATACTTGAAGATGATGTTTGAGCTGTGCCTGCCGGTACAGTCATGCATGAATAGAGAGTACAAGAGTGGACTGAGGACACAGCCCTGAGGTGTACCGGTGCTGAGGACTAGTGTAGAGGAGAGGTGACTGCTGAATCTCATTGCCTGTGGTCTGGTGGTGAGGAAGTCCAGTATCCAGCAGCAGATGGACTTCTCCAGGCCCAGTGTGGTGAGAGTGGAGACCAGTTTGGAGGAGATTATGGTGTTGAATGCTGAGCTGTAGTCAAAATTGTAGTCAGTTTAGCAAACCGTTGCTACATTTAACTTCTAGCTATCTTTACATTAGTTCAGTTTCAGTTTATTTATATAGCGCCAAGTCACAATAGAAGTCGTGTCAGGGCACTGAACAGAAACATTCATATATAGAATAAATCAGAAACGTTCATATTTAAAAATAATAATTTAACATTATTTATCTGAGGAGCAGACCGCTTTGAGTTTAACGCCATCGACAGTGGAAAGGAAAAAACACCCTCATGAGGAAGAAAGTTGCTTTTATGTACCATTTGCTACTTTTAGCTTTTGCCTAGCCTTTTGCCATATAGGTACTATTCCGTTATTTTAGCTAGTGTTTTGCTGCTTCCAGCTAACATTTAGCAACTTTGAGCTTTTTGCCACATCTAGATAACTTTTACTACATTTAACTTTCACCTAGTGTTTTGCTACTTAGCATTCAGCTTGCATATGCCTACTTTTAGCTTGTAGATAGCGTTCTGATTTATGTAGCTTTTACAACTGTTTCAGCTTCTTTAGCATCACAGTTTTTCTTAACAGAAAATGTAATTCTTCGTGTTGTTCTTCTATTCTTATAAGGTATTCATGAGCTTCAGAAGCTCATCTGATCAACTTTTGGAGGCTGAGATGGTAGGGTAGCTGACTTGGGACCAGAAAGTTGCAGTTCAACTCCCCGCCATGCCCACATGTCGTGGTGTTAGGGTTAGGGTGCAAGACACCTAATACCTAACTGTTCTCCGGGCGCTTACATAGCTGATGAGTTAAATGCAGAGAACAAATTTCTTCATTGTATGGGAACATGCAATGATGACGACACATATCACACTTTTTACAAACTTGTTTCTTTGCTGAGCTTCTTCTAACTCCAGACTCGTTTATGAATCAGGTTTATAAGAGGCACCAGATTCAAATGTTGCATCACTCAGTGGTTGAATAATGTTCAAGTCAGCAGAGAAAACCCGTCACTTTCCCACCTATAGCAACGTGTGCAGAGAGCACGGCCTGGTTCATGGTGAGGGCCCAGATGTAAAGGTTGTGGACCGCCGTGACCCCCTCTACCGCTAACAAACGGTCTCGCACCTCGCTGTACTTCACCCCCGACGGAGTGCCTGCAACGGAGACATATAAGAGAAGAACAAGTGAAAGTTTGAGAAATCCTTTAAGCTTTTGTAAAGATAAAACAAAATCACAGCCTCACCCTCCATCAGGATGAGAAAGAGGTCTCTCATGATGGTGAAGGTGGTGCACAAGACCAGTATGGAGAACAGGAAGGTGCAGATCGGGTCGGCCATCTTATATTCTGGCTGGAAGGGAGAACACAATGCAGGAATAAGGTGCACAACTTATTTTATTAGAAAAGTAATTACTTCAAAGAAATCCTCTTAAATGCAGCTGCAGAGAACAATCAGGGATTTTGGAATTTTAGCTGAAAGAAACTTGAATCTGTTACTGAGAAGAAAAATAATCAACACATTTTATTTTAAAACCCATAAACCTTTAGAAATAAAGTGTTTCTG